TTTTTTTTTTCTTCGTTCCCCCCCCCCCCCCCCCCCCCCCCACACACTGGCTGTCCAGGATGTAGCACTATTCAGAAGTATCATTTCGTATTTCATGTATCCATAGCCCGTCATATAGGAATTGCAAAACGAAAAGAAAAGGTCAAAGAGACTTGTATGAAAATTTTCAAACAGGAAAGTTTATCGGTGGACGATCTTAATCTACGTGAGCTGCCCCATGCGTATGATTGGTTACCAACAGTGGCATAGCGTCGGGGGAGCCAGAAGGGGCACATGCCTCCCTCCTCATCTTTTCCATTCATGTTCCGCTTCTGGCTACTGGTGTCGTTTATTGAATCTCTGGAAGTTCCTCTTTTCCAGTGAGTGCACTTTTCAGAGCAATACCGGGTGAGGCAACAAAGCGTGCAATTCTTTGAGAAAGAACGGCGCATTTTTTATTTCATTCTTAGGATAGCAGATAGCTCGGCGAAGCTGTTTTTTTTTTTTGCAACGATTTCTACGTATCTTTTAAGCGTCCCAAGATGCTTGTTCTTTTTTCTCCAGCCATTTTAGCACATGAGCGATAATGCGAAGACAACTCGAATTTTATTTTTGCGCGAGAAAAAGTATCGGCGGGAGAGCGGTTGGTACGCGTGAAGCGCACCAATCTCGGGCCTGAGTTCCTCCGTCTGCCCAAGAAAGTGCTGCTCTTGGTGAAAGGATAGGGTGGGCAAAGGATTTTGCAAGAATTTCCTGGTAATGATTAAAGGAAATGTAAGTCTATCTTAAAGAGACTGATTCACAAGTTGTGAGAAACCAATTCAGCAAAGGAAGAGAGGGAGCAGAAGACTCAAACTAGCCGAAACGGAAGGAAACAGTGTTCAAGTGGAAGAAGTCATTGTTTCTCAAGATGATAACTCGGGGATGCAAAATTCCCGGGTGCAAATTGTTAGATGCAAGGGCGACTCAGAGATTTTTTCAACGGATTCTGAAGTGCGGAGGGAGGACTAGGAATGACAATTATTTTAAAGGGAAGCACCCTTTAAAAGAATTGTCATTCCTAGTCAATAAAGCAGGTCCTCCCGCCAAAGTCCAGGTGCGAGCGCGACTATAAAGTTCCAGTTGCTTTTTTTTAAATCACTCGTGTGGTAAAACGGCTTGAGATAAACATGCAAACAATTTTAGAATTTTAAAAGATGCATAGACGCATGTATGAAAGAAACTTTATTGTCCTAGCTTCTGTTTCAGAGACGTCACAAAATGTTAAAGAGCGCAGCGGTTGTTTGTTTGTTTTTTTTTTTTTTTTTACCTCACCCGGTATATTCGCAGCACATCGGGGGGGTTCTTCCTCAAGTGCGTTCTGGGAGCAAAACGAAAATTTCCCAACCAAGCATTCTTGCAAGTTGAGAGTAGGCGTTCGACTGAGGTATCCGAATTATGTTGCACCAGGTACTCTTGCAGGCATCATCATCATGGAGCGTGTAAGCCTATTGGGTATGTCATGGGGCTGACAGAAGCATGTGGATTCTGCTCCCCCCCTGGCGGCGGACAAAACTCGGCTGCCCTGATGGGTTCATCAGTCATGTCCAAACCGTGCATAAAACCGTCATGCAAGAATGGAAGCATTTGAGATCATGATGAGCTGGCCACAAGTTTCGTGACAACTTTCAAGCCTTGCGCGCGGGAGTAGTTCTCCAGTGAGCAACCTTTCCGTCACGATTGCGTTGAACATGAGGCAGGAACCCAAATAGGGGTGAAGGCAGGACAGTTGGCTTTTTTTTATATCGCCGGAGGGCATTTCAGGACGTGGGAAGCCGTGACGGGCCTTGCCTTGAGAGAGGCTGAGCTGAGTCCTTCAGTCCACTCCCTTCACCATGGCCAAATCAGGCGCTCTTCTCCTTTTGGTGTCCGTCATACTCGGTTTTCGTCGTTCAGGTGAGTTCCTCCTTTATGCACAACAAAGATGGGGAATCGAAGCCCTAATTTTTTGTCTTTCGCAGGGGCCGTCAGTGACGCCGAGCTATCGGCGATTTCCGAGCAATTGTTCGCTTCCGATGGAAGACAAGATTTAAATCATCTCTTCAAACTCAACTTACAGGGAAGAACTTCACCATCGAAAAGCGATGACTTCGCATCTTCCAAGTGCGGATGATAAATAATATATTTTTCATATTGGATGTCGTTCCCGTCTTATAATATCCCATGATACTCAGTTTAGCGTGCCTTTGACCTTTTTTTTCCTCATCCAGTCTGTTTTCCGGGGTGTCCCCTCATCTGGGGAATTCCGGGACCATGCGGAGTCTTAAAGCGCTTTATGACAACTACAAACCACTCGTGACGGACCAAGAAACCGACACAGCACAGGAAAACCAAGAAGTGGATAAATTCCTCGACGATATCCTGGCCTCAGACGTTATGATACAAGCACATCAGTTCCTCGGCAGGAAAAAACTGGCGCCTTCGTCAGCAAAAGCGTTTCGTGATGAAATGAAACGTCTCTGGTTTGAGCACTATCCTCGAGCCAAGGGGACCCTGAGCTCGAATGGTTTCGAGCACGTGTTCATGGGTGAAATAAAAAACAAGGAAGTATCTGGGTTCCACAGCTGGCTGTACTTCATCAACCAGGAGGCATTAGGAAATCTAAATTATAAGGGTTGGATTAAACGGCTCTCGATGGGGCATGTAAGTGTAAAACCTTCAAGCAAAACACATCATGCTTTCGAACATGGATGATTCCTATTGAAAATCGTGACAATGGTTTCGCCTTTTCAGGTTTCTCTTCTAAAGGCCCAATTCGAATGGGAAGGAGAGAGAAAGCCGCTGACCAGCATGTTTGTTGGAAGTAGTCCTGAATTGGAGATGGCACTATACACCATTTGCTTCAAGACTCGGTCTGGGAAAGAGTGTCCACTGACTGGCAACGGGAAGACTTTCTCCATTCAAACCCACCCACTGACATATCAGGGGAAGACATACATTGGGAGTGCTTTCCCACAATTCTGAATACATCCACTCCTTTCTTACTGAGCTTCATTCTCTGCCTCTTGGTGAGTCTGAGGATTAAGTGACAGACAGCATGCTTTTCATATCCTGCAATCCATCACGTGTTTATTTTCATAGAATGACCATACCAGGAGTACAATAAATATTATGCATCAAAGGCGTTTTCTTTACACTGGTATCTCACAGATCAAAGGATGGGGGCCTGTTGAGGAATTCCTGTCATATATGAGAGATTTAAGGCACAAAATGTGCATATGAATATGTTAGTCAGTAAAACGATGAGAACAAATAAAAAAGTCCATGAGTATAAGAGTATGAACCAATAGCCAAACATGTCTTATGGAAGACCAAATGCCACATTAAGCACTAATGAACACAACATTTCAAGAACTGTGAGCCTTCACACAAGATCTTCAAACTGGTAAAAGTAGAAAAAAGATCAGCTGCACGACAGTACTGTTCACAAAGAAAAAAAAAATTTCACTTCACCCCTAACACACTGATATGAAAGGCTGAATTCATACACTCATGGACCAGCTGGAGATTAAGGTGCTTCATCCACTCCTACTGACTCCATGGAAGATGAGGAATCACTCATAGTAATAACCTCAGCATCAGCACACTCGGGTTCAAGTTCAAATCGATGTGTAAGAATTGACTTGGCAGCTGAGATTTCCTGCTCATCCAGAGGGTGACTGCTTAGAGCTTGGGCCAGCACCGACTGACACTTTGGCTGTTGGGAGCTGCAATGAGGCACTTCAATATTGTCTGGATGAGGCACAAAATCCACCTTTGGAAGATGGGGCCATGTGGTCTGGTCTTGCTTCTGGGGGTCTTCATTGAATTCAATTTCTTTCTTCTTCCTCTTCTTTTTCTTCTTCTCTTCTATACCTGTAGTTACAAAGCTGTCTTGAATAGCTTGCATCTCCTGAATCCATGCCTCAGTCTCATGAGCTACTTGTGGTGTATCTGTTGCCAAGTCATAATGCCCATGATTCATCCATATAAGAAAGACCTTCTTAGGCATCTCTTCAACTTGCAAATCACCTTCATTGCGATTGAAGCAATACTTGTGTATGGTTACAAACCGATTTTTGGCATGACCTCCAAGAACAACATGGAATTCAATATTATAGAGATCAGACATGGCCATGAGAGACTCGAATCCCCCCCAGGTATGGTCCTTCTTCAAGCGCTCTACCTCCTCTAGAGCAAAGTCCAATAAATCCACTCCATCTGGGGTATCAAAGAAGGGAAGAAATTCAGCCACATTCTGGGAAAGATGTTCAATGGAGATTTGGCGAACATGATTGTGCATTTCCTGAGTACCAAACAGAGCTTGAGCAATGGCCCTGTAGAGGCAGTTACCATCTGGAATGATTCGATAACGACATAGGCCAATGCGCCTGATGTATGCATCTTGTACTTCTTCCTCAGTCAAAGAGACATGATGGTGGAGAAGTTGCGATACAAGCCCTTCCTCCTCATCTTTGCTCCCTAGACGACCATCAAGGTGATCTTCGATGTTTGTTACTGCATTTGCAATCTGACCATCCCAAGGATGTTGATTGTTTGTTAAGAAGCAGCTTCCATGGTTCAAAGGGGTTTTATCTTTCACCATGATTCCAATAGATGTCAAGATCAAACTGAAACTCCAGCTTTCTTATGTTAACACAGAGTCCTTGCAGTTCCACATGAAAATTTAAAACTTTTTCCATCCAATGCTGAATGCTTCCATTTTAAAAGAACTCAGGCTTAGATCACATGGCAGGAAAGGATGGCAATTGTTCTTCTCACATCATATGCGCACTACATATTTTTTTCCACAGCATCACAGAACCTATGAAAAAAAAAGGTTCATAATTTCACCTACTGAAGAAAATTAAATGAATGTCTGTCAATGCAGACATTCATATAATTTTCCCAATTTCCAGTGATCCTCCAACAGTGATATTAGACTTCATAGGTCTGGTGGATGTCTGCATGAACTAGTGGCTATGGCACTATGGCTATCATGGTTAAGGGCAAGGTTGGTTTTTTAGCTCCTATTCCATATACACGTCTATAAATGTGTGAGCTAAGCCATATCAAATCTTGATGACCAGCTATCCTGATGAGTGGCAAATTACACGGAGAAAGAGCATAAACTGCCCTATAAGGCTTTCATTTTTTCTTTGTATTACTTGATACATTGTGTTTTCCTTATATCTGCAAAGATAGATATATGAAAGAATAACTATGGTTGGGAAGGAGTCTGAGTCCAAATTAAGCTGATCTCAGATTCATACTCAGAAGTTTGGTTTTCAAGTTCCCTGAAAAATACTCAGTCTCCCTGCACTTTATGCATACCTCAAGGACAAAACAATGTTCTGCCATGAGAAGGAAGGCACTGGGTGCATGTGCTAGGCTGTATGCAAAATGAAATTATGAGAGTGGTGGAAAACAGGCATATTTATCTTTGTATTGGATCAGAAATTTTGAGCTCTGAAATATCCCCTCTCTCTTAGCATAAGATGCACATGTAAATAAAAATTGCAAGGTGTCCATGTTTGAAAAATGCCACAAGTCAGCAGTGTTCACATAACCAATTTGGAATAAAGCAGGTGTTCACCAGACTAATGGAGTCAATTTCTATTCCTTAAATGATAACACCATGACAAAAAAAAATCCACACCCAAGATTTTTTTTCACATATAGGCATACATCCTACAGGCATGTCAGGCAGTAGGTTTGCCTCACGCAAAAAGACGTCTTCCTTCCTTGAACCTTTTGCTGCCGTTCACACCATATGGCATGTTCAGCACGATGAACCTCCACTGCTAGGCAAAGAGAGGTTGGATGGGCAAAAAGTCCTTGGCAGTGAAAGGGTTAAATGGATTGTGCAAGTTTATTTAAAAGTGAGAATGGGAATGGACAAATTAAGGTGGGAATCTTCTCAGTTGGGAATCTGTTGTTGCTAGAAGGGAAAAGATAAAATGCATGAGTTAATGAGTTTGGCCAAAGTGAACTTGCTCTTCTGTGGCTAATCAGCAGGAAGAACAAGCTTTTCCAATGCAGAGTTATCAATAAATTGATGCAAAGATGTTTATGAGTCAATTGTAGTAGCAGAAGAAAGTCTAACACCTAACAAAAAAAGCAGAGATGAGGACATTTGGTGGACATCACAACCACCAGAGATACCATTGTCTGACTGACTGAAGTTTGGACATTGTCCAGAGCATGAGGCTCTGTAGGTGTGAGCAACATTGAGAAGGTTTAGTAAGCACAAAAATTCAAGCAGAAGACTAAATGGCAACAAGAGAATATATATATATATATATTATTATTATTTTTTTGTATTGAACATGATGGCAAGGAAAATGCTGGTTGGCCAAAAGGGATGGACACCATATTGACATGCTTGTGTGTAACACCCGGTCATTGTTGCAGCTTGCTTGTGCATGAAGAATGAGTCCCGGCTCGTCGTAGGCTTGTGTTTACTTTGCATCTTAAATAATGATTTATTAAAACCCATTTAATGACTTCATCAATAGAATCTAAGCAATTTTTGAACCACAAGAGTTACGATGAATACTTGGAAACCAATGAGAATGTCGACAACTCTAGTAGACCACCACATGTGCACGGCACATCCCCATGTTTCTAGTGTTTTCTTTAGCAGTGATGCAAGTTATTGTGTATCTTATTGGCTACCTACACGTACATATATTTCAAGAGAAAACGTTTTTTCGGATGTAATACTTCGGAAATATTAACAAAGGTATGAGTAAATGCATGAAATAGTGATTGTAGCAAGTGAACATAGGAAAAACATGCTGTGATAAAACTATTGACTATCGCACGAAGAAGGTCCTTGGTCGGATACGATGAACTCACTCTCTGGTTGTACTTCCGGTCCGGTCCCTCTCTCGCCATTTCTCTGCCCAGCCTCAGCCTTGTGCACATCATACTTCAGGTAGGCTCTGATGCTTCAGATCTTTTAGTGATAGGCCTGTTGGTAATGGTTTACTACCGTATTGAGGTGTATCCGTATCCCTTGAGATATAAACAGCTTATCCTCATGTTCAAATGATTTCATGGAACAGGTGCGAGCTGCTGTTTAAGAAATGGCAGTGACAGGCCCGGTTGCCTCTGGAGGAGCTCGAAATGCACCTTCCCAAAGTAACAAAGGGTACAAGGATAAGGAAAAACCAACGCAAATTCGGGGCAGCAATATCACCGCAGCTAGAGGTAAGTTAGCGCAGCATTTCACCCAGTCAAAGAAGCCAAGCCCCTTTCCCTAAACTCATAATCCTTATATCGTGCATTACTCTGAAATGCACGATTTTGCATCAAATTTAGCCGTTTTGTATAAACTTGACCTCGGATCACTGCACCAAACTGAAGTCATGAGAAAGTTAAACTCGCTTTTCATTATTTCTGCTTTCAAGCTGTGGCCGATGCAATACGTACCAGCTTAGGGCCTCGAGGGATGGACAAAATGATCCAAGCAGCCAAGGGTGGCGAAGTTACTATTACAAATGATGGAGCAACCATTTTGAAGCAAATGCAAGTCGTCCATCCAGCTGCCAAAATGGTAAGATTTGGGAGTGTTTTTTTCAACCTGTCTCACAGTTGTGTTGCTGCCTCCATCTGTCGACCCTTATTATTCGATACTTTATTACTGATTATCAAAACTGCCTTGGACCAGGATAAAATTGGTAATGGTCAGCCACCAAATGGTGTTGAAACTTGCTGCTAGACTTGTCAAAGTGTCAGCTGTCATAGCTGACACTTTGAAGTCAAGCTTCTATTGGAAAAAAGAAAGCTTTGGCCGGTTTGCATATTTCATTAAACAGGTGGGGTACAAATGGTCTGCAGAGGCTTGAACATATTCATAGTTATTCATGGATGAACTTATTGATGCCTATCTTGTAATTTTGTTAGTCCAATATATTTTTGAATTCCCCCTCTAAGGGATTTGCTTTGGGGAAGCCATATATGGCCCTTGATAAGGGAGGAGCTTAATTAAGTTCCAATTATATGATTGATGTTATAGGTGTAATACCATTGGTGAGTAATGAGTTTTGTAGAAAGTTAGCTCTTGAAAGTAATTTTTAGTGATTCTGTTCAGTTGAAGTTTTTTGTGTAGCATAGTTCAACTTGCAGCAGATTAAACATCATATGGGAGATGAAATTTGGAACCCTGAATTTTTCAGCATAGATGTCTGCTAACACATTGCTATAATTAAATGATTAATCATTCAGAGGATATCCTTAATTAGGAAATTGAGAATGAGTGAATTGTTGATTCCTTATTTCTGACTCATCCCTGCTGTATTTCTGCTATTGTTTTTTGTAATGAACCTGGGGAAGTTTCATGTTAGGATTGTGGACTGACATCTTGGGAAGTAGATATGGCCTTGAACAATAAATTTTTATTCTTCCATAGGTTCTTATTAAACTTAATAAATTTACATTTATTTTTACAGTTGAGTATTCTGGACGACATTATATCCATATTCAATCATGTTTTTTTTTCCCAGTTGGTGGAATTGTCCAAAGCCCAGGATGTTGAAGCTGGGGATGGTACTACTAGTGTGGTAGTAATGGCAGGAAGTCTTCTTGAACAGGCAGAGAAACTGTTGGCCAAGTATGTTTCTTCTTTTAGTTACTTTTTTATTTCTGGGATGGTGAGTTGACTTGTGTTTGTAATTGTCAGGGGTATGCATCCCATGATCATCTCAGAGGCATTCCAAAAAGCTGCAGAAGCATCGGTTGAGATACTCAAGAACATTGCCCAACCTGTGGAGCTTTCAGATAGGGAATCCCTTTTGAAGTCTGCATCCACATCTCTCAATTCTAAAGTAAGTTTTAGATGAAGGGAAGATCCTTAACCAGAAAGGAGGTCATTTGATGATCTGTAATGCCTTGTACTGCCCCAGGCCGAAAATCTTTGGGGAATTAGGATTATTTACTATTTAACTGATGACCCTTGCTTCTACATTTTGAAGAAACAAAATGTATTTCAAATGTGCCAAAGTATTGAGATTATAATGGTGTGTATTCACATTATTTTTAGGTGGTGTCTCAGCATTCAGGTCTCCTAGCTCCCATTGCTGTAGATGCAGTCATGAAGGTGATTGATCCTTCAAAGGACACAAATGTTGACCTTGCAGTAAGGATATGTCCTTTGTACTCTTTTTTGCATATGACATTATTCATGCATTTTTGATAGATATGAAAAAACAAGAGAACTTTGCTCTTGTATGTGCAATATATTATTAAAAGTGAAATCACTTCATGTTGAGCACTTGGACTATTCCTTTCTGGAATAATTATTTAAAACTACTCATACTAGTATTGAAGTTGGGAGGTGACTGCATCAGAAAGTGCATATTTAAGAAATCATTAGGTTTGATACTATCATGATACTATGAACTACCTGGTGTTCATATTGAAATTATTTGCTGCATATAATTGAAATTTGTATAATTTCACATGATTTTGCCATTGCTTGTGCTGATTATTAAGTGGAACATACTTTCCTCTCATCTTTGTTTCAATATTGTTCCAAAACACCTTAAAACAGAAATTAATGAGTCGACTGATAAGCCCTTGTTTGATTCTTTTATTTTTCTCTGACATTGGTGATCTGAGCTAAGGTATTCTTAGTGTCAAGTCTCTTGAGGCCTATCTGGAATTTCTAATGATTGCTTTCAATTTAAAAGCAATGCTCAAGTGTTGGAGGGGGAGGGGTTTGGAGACAGAACTTCAATTGGGTTTAGAGATGTGAAAAAATGAGTAATTGGGGAACAGTCTATATTGTATTTAATTCAGAGAGCATGAAAGCTTCAAATGAAGCAATATTCGAATGGAATCTATAGGTTGAGATCCTCCAACATTCTTGCAATCTTGATATTGACATTAAATGCTAATATTTAGACGAGTTTCACCTATAGTACTAGTCGATGATGATTCCTACCGCCCCAGACCGACAGTGGATGGGGAAAGCACTAGGTTTCTTATGTCTGATGACATGCAGTGCTATGCACATTAGCCATGCCTTATGTGCATGTGTTGTGTTCTTGGGCCACAAGCTAACCCTGTCTGGATGCTATTCCTTAGGATGTTAAGATCATCAAGCAGCTTGGAGGAACTGTGGAGGACACAGAACTTGTCAAGGGACTTGTCCTATCACAGAAGTCTCAGGGAACAGGAGGTCCAAACCGTGTGGAGAAAGCTAGGATTGGACTCATCCAGTTTTGCATATCTCCTCCAAAAACTGATGTGAGCCATCATCTTCCACTTTTAAATGTTCACTTTTTTTTTCAAGACTTATGCAATGATGACTTGATAAGTGCTGTTTCTGAAGCAACAAGTGTCGAAAAATCCATCCTTCTCCACGTACTGAGGCTATAGCATTGAGTGACCTATAATCCAGTGATGATAATTTATGCTCTTGTGAAACTGAATTCCTTTGTGTTTCTGCCTGTAGATGGATAATCAGGTGATAGTGTCAGACTACACTCAAATGGATCGTGTACTGAGGGAGGAGAGGACATACATCCTTAATATTGTGAAACAGATAAAGAAGTCTGGTTGCAATGTTCTGCTAATCCAAAAGTCCATTCTCAGGTGAGATCTCTGGTTGTTTATTTGTTGCATAGTTATTCTGCCTACATAATAAAATGAGAGCAGATGGGTGCTGTCAGCTGGCTGGATTTTCCTGCAGGTGCAAGTCCCCAAAGGATAGGAAAAATAAGAGGGGGTTGATGGGAAAGTAATGATACCTGTTTCATCAGTAGTATCATTTTAAGAAGGAAAAGCCATGTTGATGGATTGTTTGATATTCATTTTTGAATTCTTCCCATTTTTAATGGTAAAATGAGGATGTGAGGAGTTGAAGATCAATACTGAGGCAAGAGCTTAGCTGATGTGGTTGTTCATGATGAAGTCTTACCGCCCCAGGCCGACAGTGGATGGGGAAAAACTTACGGTTGCCTTTTCCTGATGACATATTACACATATTGCAAATATTAATGCTTATTGCCAATGGGTATGCCTCTGATCCTCTATTTAGATTATCACTGTCTCTGTTATAGAGATGCTGTGAGTGATTTGGCTCTGCATTTCCTAGCCAAGATGAAGATCATGGTTGTCAAGGATGTTGAGCGGGATGATATTGAATTCATCTGCAAGGTAAGTCTTTAAGAAGTAAACTTGTCTCTCTGCAAATGCTATGATGACTTAACTTAGGACACCTATGAGTTGTATCTGATTTTAAGCAGAATATATCTGAGCCTCCAATTGTATCATTTGAATAGGTAATTGGGTTCTGATGTGAAATTAACAAAAATCTGTATGTATGCAGACCATAGGGTGCCGCCCTATTGCAAGTTTGGACCATTTTGTTGCTGAAGCTCTTGGCTCTGCAGAATTAGCAGAAGAAGTCACAACTGGCACTAACAAATTTGTCAAGGTGAGATCTACATTCCTCTTACTTGGATTTAGCTTGATGTACCCAATGCCAGGATGACAACTTTAACCTTCATGATAACTCATGAGTGTATGTGTTTGCAGAGCTGAGCAGTGAATATTCATTAAAAGCTGTGTTTATTTGGTAAATTATCATTGTGATGTGCTGGAGGTTTATGCAATATGCAGGTTGATAATATTCCAGATCACTGGGATTCCTGCTGAGGGGAAGACGGTGACGGTGCTCTTGCGCGGATCCAATAAGCTTGTGCTCGAAGAAGCAGAGCGATCCCTCCATGATGCCCTTTGTGTCATTCGCTGCCTTGTTAAGAACAGGTCTTGATGCCTCTTCATCTTAGCTGAAATGCCCCAATGGATTTTCTGGGTGCCTATTCCAGAGATGAACGTCTCAAGCCCAAGTCCATTGTTGAATTTATTGTTGCTTAACATACTTCACATGGCTGCTTTTTCCACTTATAATTTTGTGTTTCATGAGTATTATAGGCTTATCTCATGTTTTTATTTGTGCAGGGCTATCATTGCTGGTGGAGGCGCTCCAGAAATTGAGCTTTCCCTGCGCCTCAATGAATTATCGCGCTCAATGACTGGTCTAGAAGCATACTGCTTCAAGTGAGGATGTTTCTCTCAGCCTGTTTTTCTTAACAAAATTGAAGTTGGAATGATGAAAAAACCGTACTGCGCAATCAGACTTAAGCTGGTGATTAGTATCATCTCTGACCTTAGTTGCTTATAATTCCATCAGATGTGTTATGGCTGGAAGCACTTTGGCATTATGATTATTAATTTGACATTAACAGGGCATTTGCTGAGGCAATGGAAGTCATTCCCTACACATTGGCTGAAAATGCAGGACTTAATCCAATCAGAACGGTGACAGAGCTGCGAAATAGGCATGCACATGGCGAGTTTACTACTGGCATCAATGTACGAAAGGTGAGCTGCTTGTTGGCTTTTTTTTAGGTAAGTTTATTATCGTTTTTCATATGATGACTTAAGAAGATGCGGATAGCTGACAAGCATTGTGGTGATGACTTAAGTACTTCCCTGAAAGTTTTATGGTATTTATCCAATACATTTTTAAGAATTTATTTTCTCCTGCATCTGAGTTTCCTTCTCATCCCTGTAGGGAACCATCACAAATATTTTGGAGGAGAATGTGGTGCAGCCCTTGTTGGTGTCCAGAAGTGCCATCACTCTTGCCTCAGAGACAGTCCGTTCAATCCTCAAGATTGATGACATTGTGAGTACCAATGTTGAGAATTTTTCATATATTACTCATGATTTCATGACAGTACCCTGGAAGAGTAACCATATGATTACTATGATGAGGATCTCTCTTCATACAACCCACATTAGAGGAAGAATTCTCCCTCTGTGAATACCTCTTAAGCCCTGATTTTCCATGATTTTTTTCTACCTGTCCTAGATAGAAATGCATTTCCTGTTCTCATGCTCTTGGTTGGTTTCAGGTCAATGTGATCCGCTAGGAGAGAAATGGAAACCAGTGTATGTAAGGGAAAGGAAGATGCAGGAGGGGACATGCTTTTAAAGACTCACCATTGGCTCCCATCACCTTATGAACTCCCATCTGTAATTCCCCTTGAGGTTCTTATGTTTGAAGAATACTTCATTTAATAATAATAAAAACTTGCTCTTTTCCCAACAACTGCCGTCATTTGCTTCTTTTTGCTGCAGCTAGTATTCTCAACAAAAACATTTGAGCACTGGGAATCTGGAAGACAGCCACTATTTACAGTATTTAGATCCTGAGCCTCAATTGTCTGATCCCTTTGGCACCCTTTCATGCCTGAATTTTTAGAAAAAGGAACTTTCCTCAAACTAATGCAGAGGATAATAATGCGCTCTTACGAGACGTTTATTAGACTTGCACTGATAGAATGAGGCTGTTATCTTAATCTTGCTGCCAGGAACCAGTCTGATGAGCTTGCAGGCATGCATATGATGGATTTGATAAATTCAGAAGATGATGGTTCCAAACTGAACCATCCAGTGTGAAAGGGTTAAGGTGACAAATTTGTTCAGGAACAGATTCATGTGAATTGCAGGAGATCCTTACCATGTGTTGCAACAGTTACTGAGTGATTCATCCAAATTATTTTTGTAGTTGGAAAGTGATGCTTTACCATTAACGACTCAGGTTCTGACCTTGAGATCCACTGTCCTTGTAGAGTTGTCTGATGTGCAGTTTATGTTAAGAGTAATGGAAAAACGCACTGAAACCCCCCAAAAATCTAAAACTTTGGAAAAGACTTCAAACCTGGTAGTTCCATGCTTTAACCCGTTGTTTCATAGCATCCATGTTTGCAGATATTTTTTAAAACTCATTTTACAGCCCCCCCCCCCCCCATTCTCCACAACTTTCACTAGGACAACAATGTCACCTTACTTATAAGTAGTTTCTTTCAATTAGAAATGCAAGATAATGGTACTGTTCATTTTTCAATATTGCTAAAGTTTTTGTGAGCAAAATATTAGAAAATTCTGCAGTTATGCATAACTGTTGCCAGCATATTTCAAGAAAGATTTTCATTCATGGCTTTCAATCTTTTCAATGGCATTTCTTCTTTATCGTCTTTCTCGTTGGTCAGTGATCAGAAAGCATTGTCTAGGTCAAGAGTGTCTGAAGAACGGACTGTGAGTCGATTATTTAAAAAAAATGGAAATGAAAGAAAAGATCACGCAACGCTCAAAGAGGGGTGAGTGGTCGTCGTATCTTTGGGCAAACTTACACAATTATCACAAAATTGATCCTGGTATTTTTTTTTCTTGTAAGTATCTCCATCAGATCTCGTGCGACCCCCATGCGTATGACATATCAGATAAAGAAGACACCAGCCAAGTTTTAAGAAATTTCACTCCCTGCTTCAAATACAATAACTTTTCAAAGCTGTAGCATGAACAACCGCCATGAACTGACAATTTTATGAGGGATTATTGTGAGGTATTTCACCTCGACCAACATGGCAGAGCGCAGACGACAAGCAGTCCCAGATTAAATCGGTCTTTTCATACATTCCTTTTCTTTGTAATTACGATTGTTTTGTTTTGTTTTATTTTATTATATTATTTTACATAGATGGGTGCTTTTATAAATTTAACAATTGGAAATAAATGCCCAATACCAATATCGAGCGAATCTCTTTCTCGCGCACGGAAAATCTCGTATGGACAGAGAGAATATTCATAAAAATAAATTTTTTAAATTAACCAGATCCGCCATAAAACAAGGTAAGAAGTTTCCTTCACTCATTTTCATTTTTTGCATGCGTTGTCATATTGGAGGGCTTCAATTCCAGGTAGCACGAAACATTGATTCAACGTTGACGAGGTGTAGATTGAACGTATCATTGTTGACGTTTTATGCCTCCACGTCACATCAACATTGATTCAATGCGGCGACGGTCGCTATTCACACACCCACATTGAGTCAACGTGGATTCAATGCTGCCGTATTCACGGTGGAAGCATCCATATTAAATCAACATGGATTCTTCGGATTCATTTACAGTACAGATCCCTCGTGTCTTCTGGGGAATATTTTTTCTGCGTACTTCATCTGGGTTTGTCGAATAGTTCATCCAATCAGCCAGAATGCATTTCGATCAAGAAAAACCTTCGATTTTTGTGGAGATAAGGCAGTGGCCGAAATGGCACTTGTCGCAAATTTTGTCGCATCGAACAACCAGAAAGGCCACTTGGAGTCTAATTAGACAATATCTCGTGTGTTGTCTCAAAACATACGGAATATTGCAGCGAAATAATGTTTGATTAGAAACCATTTATTTCCTTCGTTTTTTTTTTAAATTGGAGCTAATGAGTCGATTAACTCAAAGACATTTTCAGATCTTGGCATGTATCCTAATTTAACGTGAATTTAAAGGCTGATCATTTTAAATCTTATCTGGATCCTATAATGGACCCCCCAAATAATTTTTTCAAGATTTCTTCAAATTTGATGCGTCTTTCATTGACAGTTACGTATATGGTTCCAAAAACTATTTTTTTTAACGTTTTATTTGTTTTTAGGGAAAAGAAACGAGCAAGCGGGTCCAATTGATTCTAGTTTTTCTTATGCTCGTTTTTGTCAATAGCATACCTTGCCCAGGTATGGGTTAAAGTGAGAATTGCATTCTTCAGTTCTGTGAATATCCCTCGAAATACGCTTTTTTCATGCCGAATTCGGGCTTGAGGTCCTAATTCTCGTGCCTCGGACGAACTCCTTTCAGTTCGTGAAAATTTGCTCAATTTTATTCCAGAGGGTCGGTCTTCCGATAAGTTTGTTCGATAAGGTTCTAATGCAGTTATGAAATTCGAAAAAGGTTTAAAAAAAAAAACTGGCTGATGAAATAATTTGTTTCCCTTATTATTGATGCAGAAGTAAATCTAGGACCGTGTCGATCTGCGGGGTTTCTCACTTCTGTTTTTTCCTTGGCTGCTGAAAATCAATACCTGTGTATGATAAATTCATTTAGCACGTATCGAATGAGGTTTTCTGAAGAAAAGACAGCCTCACCTGGAAAAAACGGTACCATGCTTACAGGTTAATTAAAATAACACTTCAGTTTGGGATCGATGTCGAAAATAATTTTGCGAGCATACTGTCCGGTCAACATCAACAGATGTCGGACGAGACATCTGCCGAGACATCGAAGCAAACAAGATTCCCTGACCCCGAAGTGAGATGGCGAAGAACATCCAACCCAGCGAGTCACCGCAAATACGCAATCGTCACCCGTCCCCAGTACTTTCGGAACGGCACTGAAAGAGGCAACCCAACCCCAAAAGAAAGCTCAGTCAATCCGAGGGAATATTCGACTTCTTAATTGCAATCCGCCCAGCCCTTATGCTTCCGCTGGACCGTGATGCCTCTTATCTCGGTTTTGAGTTCATGTTGAGCTTGGTGAGATCTTTAAGAACGATAACGGAGGGTTCAGATCGCATCGAGACATCATTCGCGTAATTCTTCAGCAATAAAATACCTCACGCGCACGAATTAATCAGCCTGTTGAAATCCGTCTCATTTCGACATTAAACCATTGTCGATTATTCCGTTAAGGTCGAAGAAACTCAATTTTCAATATGGAGTCAACGCTGAAAAGCAAATGTTGAATCAACGCTGCAATGTTGCTGTTGAACATTGAACCGATGTTGACACACTGTTGATGTCAACGTTTCTTCAAGGTCGATCAAGATGAACTTTCAATATACAGGGTGGCCCATGAATCCCAATCGGTCACGACAAAAGTTCGGGAAAAAATCCGCCAAGGCGTCGACGAGACGGATGACTCCAACGCGCATGCGCTTCACCGCCTTACCTCACCCCTAAGAAACGTCACCAACCCATTCATAAAGTTGTCATCTGTCGGTCATTTGCAAAGGAGCAAGTGCGCATGCATAATGTGGAAGACTCGAGAGCACCCATCCGCAACGCGTTTACGATCACCCCGAGACGTCGAGCGAACGTCGCGTAGAACTTTGTGTTACGCCTGATGGAG